ATGAATACAGAAAAAAAACTGAATGGCTTACTATGACTCCTCTAAAAGAGATCATAAAGGGGTTCAGTGTTTACCACATATGCAGAATTATTGTGAAGATGCATCTACAAATGAAGACCAGGGCTGGTTAATGTTTTAGTCAGTCAAATATCCTGAGTTACATTATGTCAGTATATTTATTTTACAAAATGATCAGCTCTTGCTGGGGATTTAGCTCAGTGGCACAAGCACCTGCCTGTCAAGTATGAGGTCATAAGTTCCATCCATGGTATTAAAAAAAAAAAAAAAAGATCAACTCTTGCTACAGTTCTAGAAACAAAAGAACGAAAAACTGTCCCTCAGTTTACACTCCTGGATAATTTAGTGATGATTAAAACAGTACAAAAATGATATGTAAAAAATAACAGTATGGGGACAGTTTCCTCTGGGTAAAATGGAATGATGGGGAGCAGGTTTACCCATCCAGCTGAAATAGTTAAACCCAAAGTATACAAAGCATTGGGATCACTCAGAAAGAAAAGGAAACTTTCCAGGCTAAGGTTGCAGGATAACCATGGGTCCATTCTCACAGAACTCCAGTGTGAAATACTCCACACAGCCTTCTTGAGTGTAGAGAAATTGACTTGCGGTATGGACTTACAGTTTACCGGCCAACACTTCCATAGCCATTGTGGTGATATTAATGTGAATGTTCGTATATGGGTAATTTTGTCTAAATGTGATGCCTTCAAATCCTGATAAAATCCTGAAATTGTGGCTCAGTCCACAAGTGAACAAACTGCCTCTCTGAATCTCTGCGTGATTACTCAGGACACTACTGATCCAGAGCAAAGAACCACACATGAGCCTACGCTGAAACCCAGCAGGACACATTTCCTGCACACTTGTGTCAACAGGACACACCCTCCAGAGCTGGAACCAGGAGGGTCTTACTCTAGCCTGTCTCGATTTCCCATGCAACAAGCATGGACAAGCATGTCACTGACTCCACAAACACCAAGCTTGGTAGCTCCTGTGCGTAGACAGTGAATCCTGCTGGCTCTCCCTGTGGAAGTGGCTCTCAAGTAATACATCCTGTGGACAGGAGAAGCTGGTTCAGACAATGTGCCCAGAGCAACATAAGGAAAACTCGATCTCTAGAATGTGTCCCAGAGAAAACAACCATCCCTGAGAGTTTTTAGCAGGTATTCCTTTACATCAGAGCATCTCCAACTTGCAAGTATATGCAGATCACCATGGGGACTTGTTAGGCTGCAGACTGATTCAGGAAGTCTGGAGTGAGGATGGGAACTCTGCAGTTTGACCAACAGGTGCCACTAGTGCTGTCAATCTGCAGACTGCACCTGAGTAGGTGATTTTACAAGAGACAGTGTCATAGCTGGATGTGGTGGCACACTCCTGTAGTCCCAGCACTCTGGAGGCTGAGGCAGGAGAATCATTGTGAGTCTGAGACCAGCCTTGGCTACAAAGTAAGTTCAAGGCCAACCTGAACTGTGTACTAAGGCCCTGTCTCAAAAAGACAAATAAAAACAAACAAACAAACAAACAAAAAAGCCATCTGTCACCAGAGTCACACAGAACCATGCAGGCTCTCTGGAGAGCTGGTGAATAGCCCTCAGCTATTAAGGGAAGCCAACATATGTACACACTGCATGTGTTATACAAGAATGATGCACTCTCTGGAGAGGTCGGGGAAGTTACCAGGAGGAGACAATTTGGAGCTGATTACAAATGCAAGGGGATGAACACGTGAAAAGGAGGAAGAGGTGCAGAGGAATGCATCTCTCTAAGACACAGAGCCTCTGAATGGCTCTGGAGAAAGGTGATGGAAGATTAGGAGAGAACCCTGGGCTGTGTGGGGAGCATGTGTGTTGGGCCAGGATCAAGGGTGAGGCTCTGGATCTATTGAAGGAGGTAACAGTGGCTAGACAGGGCCAGAAAGCAGGATTCCCCAGTTCTTGTGGGTGCTGGGTCATTGGCAGGGACCACTGGGCAAGTAAGGAAACAGCTGAGTACTGCTAAATCTCTGGGAAGTGGACACCAGGGGTCAGAAGCTGCAGAAAGGACCTGGACCCGAGCTGCCTGGGTTAGTGACTGGAGCCTAGGAACAAGTGGCTTGTTCCAAGGTAGTGGAGAGGAAGGCAGGTATCAGGAAAGCCACACTAGCAGCCGCTGGGTTTCCACTGGCAACAGCACCCAGTGTCTGTTGACCAAAGAATATGTTTTTTTACAGCAGGAACTACTAAAGGCTGTGCTAAGAACACCAAGCTTTTAAGAAATGTTCTGATTCCTGGGTAAACATGGACACACCCCTGAAATTGTTGTACTTTTTTTTCCTTTCACTTTGAAAAGCATTTTAAAAGACTTTGGATTACTGTTCTTTCAGGATCTATAAAGATTGCATTCATTATTGTACAGCAAAGCCAGTTAGAACTAGTCAGCAATCGGTCTTTATGCTAATTCATGCAATTATGCACTGCATTTATTATTAAATGCAAATGACTTTAAGCAATGAAAAAAATCAGAGTGCATTATTTTTAAGGCAGCCAAGCCCCTTTCCACAGCAAAGCACATTTGTTCTTGTTGTTTCATGTGTTTTCTAAAACTTCTATATAATAGAAAGGTTTTCATGGCCATTCAAATCTTACTGATGTGTCTTTATGTTATAATTTCAGTAAACATTAGATAATTTGATATATGCTACAGTTTGGAAAACTTTGTTTTGAATAAAGGGACATTTATATTCAGGATTGTATACTCTTGAAACATGAAAGACAAATAATAGTTCCCCTGTCTTTCTTCTTAAAAAGAAATTCTAGTAATTTGACCAAATTTACTTCACTCTGATGTATGTATTTTGTATTTTTAACTAAAATGGAACTACAGAATAGCTTGCTGGCGCATACCTGTAATCTCAGCTGCTTGGGACGCCAAGACAGGGAAATCACAAATTCAAGGCCAGCTTGCACAACTTGGCAAGAACCTATCTCAAAACTGAAATGAAAAGGGTTCTGGACATAGCTCAGTATCTGGGGTTCAGTCTTCAATATGACAGATAGATAGATAGAGCCATCTGTGCCCCTGGAAAGTGCTATGTACAAAATTGTTCATTTAGTAATTTCTTAAATTTTCTACATATGTTTAGTGAGCATGCTATTATCTAAATTGGTGATTAAAATAAAATTAATCATTTAAAGTAATGCCTGGTTTCTGGATATTGAGGTATACACCTCTAATCCCATCACTCAGGAGACTGAGACAGGAAGATTGCTACCAGTATGGGGCCATCCTGGACTACACAGTGAGTTCAAGTGCAGGATGGACTACACAGCAAGACCTGTCTCAAAAAAAAAAAAAAAAAAAAAAAAAAAAAGAAAAGAAAAAGAAAGAAGGAAAGACAGAGAGACTGGTTTCTCATTCATATGTACAATATCAGTTCTCAAGATCAAGTTCTGTGTAGAATTCTCTTACAAACTACCTCCATGCATCTCACAGAACACAGAAGAGATCTGGTGATGACTCTGTGTTCCTATTGCTATCAAAAGCATATTTGAGACTCCAGCTGATGTTACTACTTGAATAAATATTTTAAACTGAAATATAGGATTTATTTCAGTTCTTCAGGAAAAAAATTTCATAGTTGAGAAGAGGCTATTTGATAGCTAGTTCATCAGTCGCTTCAGGGGCACAGTGAACAAAAGCAAGAGCTGAATAAAGATGGGCCACCTTGGCATCGGTCTTAGCTGGGCTACATCCGGAAGAAACATGAATCTAGCTAGCCGCAGAGCTCTGCTCTTACAGCCGCAGTACTGGGGAAGCCTTCAGGGACTGCGTGACACTGCGTCATCTTGTGTGGCAGACCCCAGAGTCTCTCCTGCAGAGCTCTTCGGCTCAGGGCCTGCCCCGGGTGCCTCCTAGCTGGCCGGCCCCTGCCCTGTTAGCTGCTGGGTTACTGCACTGCATGGCCTTTCTAGTGCGAATCAGTGTTCTCTGCCACAGTTACTCTGGTCAATACAAGCAGCGAAACAGGAGCTGTGCGGGTCTCCCGGGCAGTGGACCGGAGAAGTGCCTGTGCAAACCTGGCTGTCTCCTGAGTAGCAGGCCATTGTAAGACAAAATCTCTCATCTTTCCTCCCTGTACCTTCCTTTATTTTCCTACAGAGTACTTATCATCACTGCACACTGAACATGCGCTATTTCTATCCCCCGTAGGAAGTCAGCTACGCGAGGGGAGGGACTTTGTCTGGCTTGCTGCCCACTGAACCTTCATCACTTAAGATGTTGCATGGATGTGGCCCCCTAAGTGCTTGCTGAATAATAAGTGAATGATTCATAATTTTTTAGTAACTTTCCCTTTCCTGGGGCAAAATACCCATCAGTCAGAATGTAAAGGGGAGACCTTTCTTTTGTCCATCATTTTCAGTCCATGGTCAATCAGCTCCAAGGCAGAAACAGCACAGACAGACCAAAAGTGGAAAGCTGGTTACATGGGGTTAACCAGGAAGCAGAGAGAAGGGGAGAAGGTGCACCCTCCAGGCCCACCTCTGATGGTCAGGCCCCGCCCCCGGGCCCACCTCCTGAGGACCAGGCCCCAACTTCTTTTTTTTCAGTGACACTTTTCCTTGCTTTAATATTTGTTGGTTTTTTTGTTTTTTTTTTTTTTTTTTTTTGCTTTTGAAATGAGCTCTTGATTACAAAATACCAAACTACACTCCAAAGAGGGTGTAGAAAAAGCCAGCCGTTGGCACAGCATGGAGAAGAAGCCCACGAGTAAGGACAAACAGCAGCAGGTGGCAGGAGGTGGGTGGGAAGTGACTGAAGCAGTGGTTACAAACGTTCACAGGAAGCTAAAACTATCCAACGGGTTGTGCTCTACATTAGCACAGGTTACACTAGTCACTACCTTGGTGGTGGCCTCAGTGTGTTTGGGTTCAGACTCTACACAGCAGTACAATTTCTTCCAGTTAAAGAGTTCTTGGCTTGCACAGATCACAAGGTGGTGGGAGGATACTGGACCAGTTTATTAGTTTTTCAAAATGCTATCGTAGACCTGATAGATGTATTGAGACACTTCAGGAGCTCTACATTTCAGTGACAGCGTATAATTAGGGTTTCCTGGCTGGATACGTAGCTCAGCCAAAATCCAAATGCCATTAGCGAGCTTTAGGGACTGGTACAGCATGTCCTGCCCTTCCACGTTTCTCTTGGCAATAGTATAAACATTGTTGTTTTGCAATTTGCTGGAAACAGTGTCAGCATTTAAATGACATTCCTTAATCTGAAACTGGAGTTCATTTTCATTGGGAATGTCCTTCCATGTTGCCAGGAAGACTTGGCGCTCCATTTTGCCATCTTCTACAAAAAGCACATTGAGTGGGATGAGGCAGCTAAAGTAGAAGACATCAATATTGTTTCTAACAGCCACCTGCAAGTTATTTAGAGGTTCCATCTTCATGACTGGGCCCAAGGTGTTGAGAGGCAGGGAGACGTCAATGCTTTGGTTTGGCATCAGTGGTGTATGGATGGCCAGAGGAGTGCTTGGGATGACACCAAAGCTGTTCTTGTTAAGCTGGATTGCAAAGTCTGTCATATGCTGCAGAGCTTTGTTGGTGAAGTTCATTTCCATATAGATGTGCCCCTGGCGGTGAGTAAATGTTCCTGAAATCTCCAAGCCTTTGGCCTTTACTCCAAGTAGCCAGACAGCCTTAGGAGCCACGTATCCACCAGGCGCCATGCCTATCCCCATGGAGAGTTCAAACAGGTCATTAAGAACACTGCTGACTATGGCAGGAGTCGGTGAGGGAGCAAAGGTTGCAGGCAGTGATGATGGGATGAAGGACTGTCCGACCAGACTATCTAGTCCTCCCAGGAGATCCACTGCTCCCATCTGCATGGAGGACACCTGTGGCACATTGACTGGGGGGACCAAGGTCAAGATTTAAAAGATCTCCAAGAAGGTCACCTTGAGAGGGGATAACCTGAGGCTGTTCCAGGTTGCTTGCAATGGTGGTGCCAACAGGACTGTCACCTGCATCAGTGCTCCCATGATGAATTGGCAAGTGTTTGCGATGAATCCCATGACTCCCACAAAAGCATTGGGAGGCTTATGATACACAGAGGCCAAGGAACCATTGTGACATATCAGTTCATCCAGCAGAGTTGGCTCAATAAGGTCTGTTTCCTCAGAGATTAGTGGCTTCTCAGACAAGACTACTTCTTTGGCTGTCACTGGGGTCAGTTGAGAGAAGACACCAATAAATATAGCCCTGGTCTCGGAGGTCAGGATTATCGGAATCCTGTGTTGCCAAACTCAAGACCTGTTGGATGAGCTCTTGTGTTTCTGATGGTTTCTTGAGAAACAGCTTTACTATGGCAGTAAGCAGAATGAGCTGGACTTGGGTACTTTCTTCATGAAAACCCTCCAAGAAACTCTCTAGTAACTCATCTGCATTGTCAATTCTTTCAGCATATTCTCCCATGATCCAAATCATGGCTGCTCGTGCATCTGGCTCATCCAAGGTGTCTAAGTTCTCACACAGAGTGGCAATAATACTTTTATACTTGTTGGGATATTTGCGGAAGATATCCCTGATGACAACAATTGCCTCTTGGACCACATAATTTACTTTGGTCTGGATTAAGTCAAGCAATGTGCTTACACAGTGCTCTGCAGATTGTTCCACCTTGATGGCACATCGTCCAATGGCCCTCACAGCTTTGCGAACGAAGTCAGCATCCACCTCAGTGGCATATTCCTTCAGCTCTGCTAAAACCTGAGCAATGTTAGCTTGGGACACCAGGCGAATCATGATGTGCAACTTCTCTAGTTTAACATAGATGGGATCATTGTACTTCACAAAGAAGACTTTGATTTCCTGCTTCAAGATTTCAGGCCTTTTCTGGACAATTAAGTTGATGTTCCTCAAGGCAACATACTGCACTTCTGGCTCCCCAGACAGCAAAGTAACAAGTGGAGGAGCTAACTTCTTCAGCAGCATATTGTAGTAGTCGGAGTCCTTGGGTAACAATTCCAGAAATTTCATTAGGACTTTTATTGCTGAGAATACCACTGCTGAGTTGGCATGGGATAACCGGGAGTTACCCACTCACAGATGCTCTGAGCTTCCCAGTCATCTTTAGGGTTATAGTTAGACAAGCAGTCCAAGATGAAAATCTGGCCCCACTCGGTGCACTCATTCAGAGCTGTCAGTAGCTTATTAATGTTCTGTGGGTTCAAATTGAGAAAGTTGCTGTTTGGGTGAGACTCACTAATTTCAGACAATCCTGCTTCAGCATTAGCCACCACCATTGGATTTGAATCTGCTATGAGATCCCGCAGAGAATCGAGAAATCCCTGATCTTCCACCATTTGGGCATTGATATCATGGAGTTTTGCCACACAGACTGCTGCTGTTTTCCGAACATAGGGATCTTCATCCTTCAAGCACTTGCGAAGGGGCTCACAAATATATTCTGTAATCTTGTCCACCCGGATGCACCCCATGGTTCTGACTGCCAAGGCCCGAATCAAAGGATTGGGATCTTCACAGTCCTTCACAAAACTGTTGACAGCCATGCTGGCCATGTCTGGTTGACTCTTGGCGTAGTTTGTCAAGTACAGATACACGAGCTTCTTTAATTCCAGGTTATCCGTCTGCATACAGTTGACTACATCCGGAAAGAGAGAGCTAACATCCTTCCCCACAGTCGTAGCAACAATCACTTTTTTCACAGCCTCTTTCCTCTTTTCTTTCTTTTCATTGTTGAGTTCAGCTTTTAATGCAAAGATTTCTCCCTTTTTATTGGTTGTGAAGTACTTGGAGTCAGTCATGTTTCTGGATCTTTAAGATATACCAGAGGCAAGGGCTGGGAGTGGCGGCAGCAGCCAGAGAGCACAGCTGGGATGGTGTCCCCAACTTCTAACTGCAAGGATTCATCAGTGTACCCAGCACCCGTGACCCAATAGTCTTCCAAACACATAAGAATTTGAGGTCATTTTAGATCTAAACCAAACAATAATCATTCAGTGAAACCCTTTTAGAAGGCTAACAATTCTTAATTAGGAATAGATTTCTCCTTTAAACTTGACATTGCTCATTTGTGTGATCCTGTTTTCTAATAAATCTTAGAGTCCTATGCTCTCCTTGACTCGGCCTCCTGGCCTGGGGGTGTCCTCAGGGCCCACACATCCTATCTGACCCTTCTGAGCAGAGCAAGTCTAGGTTTTCCCATCCAGTTTCCCACTCAAACTACTATTCTCTTTGAGTCCCTGACACCTTCCCTTGCAGAAATCTCCAGGGCAATTCTCCATTTCTCAGCCTCAACCAGGAACCCAGCGTCTTGAACTACTGAAGGCTTGCTCACATCTTTGCCTTTGCCAGCATGCTACTGTCTGCACACTGAAGGAGCCACAGCATGTGTGGCTCCCAGAGTCCTTTGGACATTTCTGGCAAGAAAGAAAAGGGCCTTGAAGCAACTGCATTTGATGCCAGTCCCTACAAACCACCCGCCGTCCCAGTGAGATCTTCCTGGAGGTGCCGCCAGCTGTATCAATCAGGAGTCAAAAGCAAAGCACCTCTGCCTGTGGAGGGGGTTGGGCTTTGCTCTCAGCTTCCATCTTTGGTTAGAGAAAGGCCTGGACCTACCAGTTCTTAGGATTGAGCAAGCCACTCACGCTCTGTGATTTTAGGGTAAGGGCTGGCCACACTAGAGAGATCAAGTGGCCTAGAGTTGGGCTGCTGTCACTTGCCATTGTGGACTTGGAGGCTGAGATCAGTCAGGCAGACAATGACTCAATTAGACCAGTGTATTGGGGTTTCACCACAACACCTCAGCAGCCAGGCTCAGGTGACCTTTCAGGTACATTCTTCTCTCTAGGGATGTCACACTTGGATGTTGGGAGATGATAAGGCCTGAGATTGCCAGAACCTCACACAGGACCTTCCCACACTCCGCCCTACCTCTGTCTCTTCCTCTGGCTGATTTTGGTTGTGTTCCTTTCTTCTGATAAACTGTAACAATGAGTATATAGCTTTCAGTGGCTTCTGTCCATTCGTCTAGTCAGTCACTGAACCAGAGTGTGCCCTGGGGAGCCCCAGGTTTGCACTAGGTGTCAGAAGTGAAGGCAGCTTTGGGTACTGTGCCCTTCAAGCTTGGGCTTCTGCTGCAAGGTTGTTCCCTTCTGTTCAATCTGCAGCTCCTGTCTTCCATTTGTTTTTATATCACACTTAAAAGCTTTTGGGGGGAATGAAGACTTCTAAAGCAGGAACACACATGTCCTTGGTACTCATGTATTATTTGTATCAGTAAATCACAATGGACTTTAAGAATGCTTAAGTTCAAAGTCTTTTCCCAGGACAGTCTTAATTTTTCAACCACATCAACCTACCTAAGACCTCACAATGTTCGTAGCAAACCAGAGAACAGAACAGGCCATGCCTGACGTCTCAGCGCAGCAGACCATGGCAGGGCCAGGCACATTAACCCTAAAACATGCTGGGAAGGACATGATCCCCCGGGCATGGCAGGGAGAGGGCTGAGTCCAGCAGAAAAAAGAGAACTTTGCCTCAGGAAAAGGATGGAACCTGTTGAAGAGGAAACAGAGCAATTTGAGACAACAGGAGGTTCTGATCAGCAGGAGACTTGAAGTAAAAAACACCAAAAAAGGAGACACAGAAGAGGACAGGAAGACACTTAGTGGATGTGAATACAGAAAATGGGGTGGGGTGCCCAGTCCAAGAGGAGCAAACACAAGAACTGGAGAGTAAACCTCGCTCACTAATTCTGGGATGAACCAAGGATTTTGCTAAATTCTGTCTCCTTTATCTTTTCAATCAATCAACACTTAACCGTAGGCACCTTCAGGAAAACAATAACAACAAAACTGTACTGCTTTATTGTCAGCTGAGCAGGAATGCTCTTTCTCAACCCAGGAACATGATATTGATGAGACTAAATGATATTTAAACCTTCAATCTTTGATAAATACCTGGAATTTGATAGCAGGCTGCTGAGTCAAAGCTAGCCTCTCAAATAATGTTCGTTTGCAACTTGACAGAGAAGGGCAGAGAGGAGGAAAGAAGACCACACTATATCTGATACAAAGGAGAAGGAATGGGAGCCCAAAGGTCAAGAGGAAATGGCATTATATCAGCAAGAAGCAAAGGGAGAAAAGACTTCAACCTCTGAAAAGGTGGGGTGGTGGTGGTAGTGGCAGCATTTGGGGAGGGAAGCAAGAGGAAGTGGAAGCGGCACCAGGGCTCACACCTTTGGTCTCTTCTTCCTTGAGAACAGAACGCTGATTTTATTCCATACGTTGCTCAGCCTAAGTCATGAGCAGTGATTGTTCCAAAACAACCATAGCAATCCTGCTCCCTTTACCTTGTCCCTGAGTTGCCAGCCTTCTTTTATTGGGAGTAGCTGTATGACTCCACTTGTGCCAAGGAAATGTGCAAGTAGATGTCTGAGAAGCTTTTTGCTTTTCTGTTAGTAGAGATCCATATATATGACTGATGCCGCCTCTTTCATTCTTTCTCCTTTGAATGCAGAACATAATGCTTTAAGCTGCCACAACTAGCTTGTAGCAATGAAAGACAACAGGAGAGAATCACAAAGATATGAGCTGTAGTATCATTAAGCTACCCAATCAAGCCAGCAGGCATCCACCTCCAGAATGCCTGGTAGGTGGGGAAAAAGAGAACTAGCTTGCTTACCCTATCCTTGGATGTGTCTATTCTTTCTAACAGCAGCTAAATGCAATCCTCAAACAAAACTCATTCCAAGAAAATGCCTTTCCACTTTGAATTATTGCACCAAAGACATTTGCCTTTAAAATGACAGAATCACCAAAGAAATCTCATAAACACTGAGAACTAACAGATCCCCTCAGCAAGGCCTCTGGTCCTTGAGGACTGGCAATTTGGGAAGAATCAAAGTTCTAAGAGAAGCAGCTATAACCGGGCTCAAGAAGTAAGCTGTGGACTGGAAGAAAACAATTGATCCTAGAAATAGAGAGGCAGTGGACACAGCCAGCATCCTCCTGGTCCAGGGATGACAGCAGCTGGAAGTGCTGTCTGCATGGCCTCTACCAGCGTCCCAGACAGCAGGGGCTGCAGTGTTTGTTGATGTCAACTACAGGTCGCTGATACAGCCTTTCCTTGCACTTGTAACAAGCTTCCACGAGATTTCTGTCCCATTCTAGAGTCAAACACAAATTGAAATCCATAGTCCTTCATCTAAGAGTTATCCTCTGAATGATACTGAAAATGTAGACATCAATGGGGATGCCTAGTGGGGAACAAAATCAGGAAAGGGGCAGGCAGTAGACAAACCTGCTGAGGTCTCATACCTTCTTCTCAGAAAGTCTTCTGTATATTTCAAAACAGCTGGCAGCCAGGCATGGTGGTGCACGCCTGTAATCCCAACACTTGGGAGGCTGAGGCAGGAGGATTGTTGCATGTTTGAGACCAGCCTGAGCCACAAAGTGAGCTAAAGGCCAGCCTGAACTGCAGAGTAAGACCCTGTCTCAAAAGACCTCCGCAAAAAACAAAACAAAACAACCCCCAAATACCCAGATTTCCTCAAGTCAACTAGCAGAGAGGATTATCAGTGTTTCCAACACAAAGAAATGATAAATGTCTGAAGATATGATACACTCATTGCTTTGATCCAATCATCACACATGGGTTACACATATTGAAATGCCACACCATTTCCTATGAACAAGTGTCATTTTAAATATATACATATTTTTTAAAAGTCTTTTTAAAGTTGAATAGCATGTTGTATTTTAAAACTGAATTCTACTTTAAGGAAATCTAGCACATAAGAATCCAAAAGACATTGAAAAATCATCCACATTATGAATGAATATTTCGCTTTACTATATGTATACTGCAGAATTTCTTTATTAAATGAGCTTTCCTGGTACATTTACTCCAAGATTTGAATTGAGCAGAATTCTATAACAGGATTTCCACTTGCAGGCATAATAACACCTTATGTGTGCAAAGTGCTTTGTTCTCAAAACTACCTGCTTGTCCTCTGACAATCCTGTTTCTCCTCAGGACAATCCTGTTTGATACTTAGGACAACCCTTCAACTATGAAAGAAACAGATATTCTTTTCATAATCATATTTTTGTTCAAATATGTATCTGTAACAAATATAGGACATCATAAATATTTGAAAGCTTCCTACAAAAATAGATTAACTTTTAGCTGAGTATAAAATTTATATATGTTCATGCAGAAACTGGAAAATATAGAAAAGTAGAATTTAGGAAAGAAATAGCCCATATCCCAGAGAAAACTGTTTCACCTTTTCTTTTAGTCGTTGTACTTTTCATACACAAAGGTTTGCTTTGTATTTTATTTACACAAAGGTATGCTAACACTGATTAGACAATTTTTTCTGCTTTTTGCCACTTAGCATTACAATAAGGATATTTTCTCAAGTTATGAAATTGTTCATGCTAAATGCCATTTTCATAATTGCACTGTACAATTTACTAAATTATTTTTTAAGCAACAGCCTTATTAAACTAAGATATGCATACAATCTACAAATTTAAAGTGTAAGAGTCAGTAGATCTTAGCACATTGGTAGAGTTATACAGCCATGACTGCAATCAAAGTTAGATCATTTTGGTGACTCCAAAACAAAACTCTGTCCAGGAGCTATCATCTTCCAATCTCTCCCCTCTAAATCTAGGCATCCCCTGGGCTACTCTGCATCTTCATAGAATTTCCTTTCCTGGAAATTTATTTTTTATTCAAAAATGCTCATATCAATAAATAACTTAATATATCCAAAGAAATAAAAACCCTGCACAGTAAGCTTTCACACTATATTGGAGTGAAACTAGACACCAACAGCAGAAACACACTTAGAACACATTTTTTCTGTCT